TCGCCCTGGCCTTCCTCCCCTTCCTCGTCACCCTGCTGATCCGCTACCGGCACTACCTGGTGCTGCTGTACCGGGCGGTGCTGGTGAGCTGGCTGCGGGACCGGCTCACCGGCGTCCCGCGGGAGCAGCGCGCCTTCCAGTACCTGCTGGCCCACGCCATCCCCGGGGACCCCCGCCACGTCCTGCAGACCTTCGACCAGTGGTGCTACCGCTGCGAGCACCTCAGCAGCGTGGGGCCCCTCAAAGGTGAGCGCGACCCTCGCCCACCCGCGCCGCAGGGCTCCCGGCACCGGGCGCGGCCATGGCACCGTCAGCACGGCAACGGCACCAATGGCACAGCCGTGGCACCACTAGTGCAGCCCCGGCACTGTTGGTGTGGCCATGGCATCGTTGACACAGCTGTGGCATCATCAGCATGGCCATGGCACCATCAGCATGGCCGTGGCATCATCGGCATGGCTGTGGCACTGTTTGGCATGGCCATGGCATTGTTGGCATGGCCATAGCACCATCCGCATGGCTGTGGCGCTGCTGGTGCGGACACGGCACCATTAACATGGCCACAGCACCACCGGTACAGCCATGGCACCATCAGCACAGCCATGGCACTGTTGGTATGGCCATGGGATCACGGACACGACACTGTTGGTGTGGCCATGGCACCATCGGCATGGCTGTAGCACCACTGGCACGGCTGTGGCATTGTTGGCATGGCCATGGCACCATTGGCACGGCTGTGGCACCATTGACACGGCCATGGCACCACCCGCATGGCTGTGGCACCATCGGTGTGGCCATGGCACCGTTGGCACAGCTGTGGCACTGTTGATATAGGCCATGGCACCATCGGCACAGCCATGGCACTGCTGGTATGGCCATGGCATGACACCATTGACACGGCCGCGACACTGTTGGTGTGGCCATGGCACCGTCAGCAGAGCCATAGCACCATTGGTGTGGCCGTGGCACTGTTGGTATGGCCATGGCACCATCAGCATGGCTGTGGCATTGCTGGCACGGCCGTAGCACCATTGACACGGCCGTGGCACCGTCGGTGTGGCTGTGGCACCGTTGGCACAGCTGTGGCACTGTTGCTATAGGCCATGGCATTATTGGCACAGCCACGGCACCGTTGGCGCAGCCGCGGCCCCGCCGCTGCAGTCACGGCACCACTGTTGGGGCTTTGCACCCCCAGCGCGGCCACGGCCCCACCAGCGCGGCTTGGGGACGCGGGGAGCTTCGGCACGGCCGTTCACCTCCCTTCTGCCCT